CACTATAATTGTAAATCTTAATCTTCTTCATTAGTTAGGGGAGTACTATTTATTCCGAATGAATGAATGAATGAATGAATATCCATTAGAATTCCATAACTACATATTACATTAAAATATTTGGAAAGGTTCGAATTCCTGCCTTTTTCTCACATTTCTTGAAAATATAGTTAAATGTAGCCAATAATGGGAACATAGAAGACTTTTTAGGAGCAGACACTTTTAGATATAGTAAATCAAATTACCATTTATAAATCTTAGTGTCAGTGTTCCGAATAACATACCCATTGAAAGCAGGACTCCAAGGCAGGTAGATTCTTCAAAGAATATCTTTATTGGATACATCATGTCAGCACAGCAAGTGAAAACTAACTCTAAAAATTCCTGTGGTTTTCACCTAATTAAAAGAGCAAAAAATTTTCCCTTCCCAGTGTCATCAGTCACATTGTCCAATGAATAAAAAGGGCAGGCTCCTCTCCTCCTTCCCCAGCCACCTGTTACGATGACTTTGGTTCCTACAGGAAAACTTTTCATTTTTACTGTAAACTGGGCTATCTATTTCCTCCTTCCCTTCCCTCTCTCAGGCAACTATGAGGCAGCACAAGATGGCTTCAGCCAGGTTCACTTCAGAGTTGACCCCTAGCTTACCCAAACTAATCCCAAAATGCTAAAATGATAATGTCTGGTTAGGACTTGAATCAAGATCACCGAGATTTCTCAGAGCTGCAGACAAGATCGTTGTCATCAGTATGACAATCGCCATAAGCAATGACTGCTAGCTATTCAATGTAATCAATTTTTTTGGGGGGGGGGCAAATTGTTCAAGGAATGCTTCTTAGAATAAATCCTACTGCAGGTATATTTTCTGCATCTCCCAAGTCTTATCCACAAATGCAAAAGAAAAAATTAAATCAATTTTGTTCTCAATCAATAAATATCTACTATTATAATTTCACAACTAAAATTACATTGAAATATTTGGTAGAGGAGGAAACAATTACTGATCCAAATTACTTGAATATGCAAGTAAAGGCAACCAATAATGGGACTAGGGAGGGACTAGGACTGGGAAAATGGAAGGCTTTTTAGGATCAGAGATTTTATCATTGAAATAAATCTAGGTCAATATACTTTGCAAGAGAAGTGGTTAAAACTTCAATGTAGATTCTGTTAGGTTTACCATAGCAAAATACTGGAAAGCTTATCTATATTTGTCTTTCGCTCAAAATTATTTAGAAGTGTGGCTGAAAAATTAATGTGACCAAAAAAGAGAATTGAAAAACACTTAAATGAAGGATTGTTTTATTCAGATTTGGTCTTAAATCTTTCATAAGCTTTTTCCATCTTAGTTTATAAAGAGAGATTTGGGACTGAAAATACTGAATATTGATGTTTAGAAATCTTGATGTATTTCTCTTTAAAAATTTATACATATCCATGCCCTAGTTTTCCCAAATTTTGTTTTCCTTTGTTTTATTTCTTTCTCTTATTTTAATTAATTTATCGATATGTGACAGGTTCATTAAAAAAAGAAAAGATTAGAGAAAAAGTTTCTGCCATTAACAGAAGACTTTGCCCATCCATCTTTCAATGTAACATTTTTGCAACATCTATCAGTACTTTCAAAGTATCACATATTATGAAACGTTCTTAGTCTAAGCTAGGTTATTGCTATGTTAGTTAAAATGCCCACCAGCAGTTCTCCAGTTTTAGACAGAAGTGATTTCCAAGACCGAGCGTTCATAAAAATACCAGAATACACAAATCCAAAAGATCTGGAAAGTCCTTAAGCAACTACACTAAACTTTAGCAGCTAAAGTTCCTTCATGATGTAAATGTAGAGTTTAACGCCTTATAAAATGCAGCCCTCGTAAGTCCTTGAAGTAAATTATGTTGGCTCCAAAAGGGTTTCCTTACAGAATCCAACCTTCATTATAATTTTTGAATTGTTAGATTATATTAGACATAATTTTAATTTATTATAATTCTAATATATCTTTCATCTAACTCTATTAACTGTCTCTTTCTTTATATATAAATAAATACAGAATTGTTACAGTGTCAATGCATATACAAACATATTTAGATAAATATTGAGCAACATATAATGTCTGATTTAGCATAGTGATCAGTGTCAACATATGGATAAATTTGATTGGATAACCAAATTTAAAGCCATTTTAACCATGGCCATTACTGGAACATCTTGCAGCAAACAATATTTGTTGGCTTAACCTATCTAAAAAAAAAAGTACTGAGAGTAACAGCAGAATCTCGTATATAAGAGACAAAATGATTGCAAATTAGAAAGTGATTTGATAAATAAGAACTTCCTTAGTGTTAGAATAAAAGCTTTAGTATTAGTTCTAAAATGAGCCAATATGTCATAGTTATAGTATCTTGCTTTGTCTTCATATATCCACATAAGCAGCCAAAGATAACAGTTAATACTTGCTTTGATGATAAGGAGCTAAGAGCACAGTTCAATTTAGCTTCTTATAAGGTAAAGGTGAAGGTTCCCCTCACACCTATGTGCTAGTCGTTCCCGATTCTAGGGGGTGGTGCTCATCTCTGTTTCAAAGCCGAAGAGCCAGCGCTGTCCGAAGACGTCTCCGTGGTCATGTGACCAGGATGACTAAACACCAAAGGTGCACGGAATGCTGTTACCTTCCCACCAAAGGTGGTCCCTATTTTTCTACTTGCATTTTTTATGTGCTTTCGAACTGCTAGGTTGACAGAAGCTGGGACAAGTAACGGGAGCTCACCCCGTCATGCGGCACTATGGATTCGAACCGCTAAACTGCCAACCTTTCGATAGACAAGCTCAGCATCTTAACCACTGAGCTACCACGTCCCTTATTTAGCTTCTTATAGGGAAGCTCTAAGAAGAAAAGGATTGGTTGGAAGGGATTGATATCAGTACCAAGGCTTCATTATGTCAGAAATTCTGGGAAGGAGTACTTGCAGAGGAAAAGAGAGGAAAAGGAGAAAATGCCTAAAACTGACTTAGCCATTCAAAATGTCTTTCGAAAATTCTGCTCTACATTTTGGACAGAGAAATCAGATAGTTGATTTCCCAGAATTTTTCAGCATAGGTAAAAACTCCCAACAAATTCTCAAGTGCAATATTATCCCTTCATACTGGTATAAAGATCAATACTGAAATGTCTAAAGGAGAAGTTCTCTCATAAGGGTTTCTCCTGGGAAATATGAAAAACCAGGAGGCTACAGACCAATGGTTATCTCAACTATTGGACAGATGATTTCACAATGAAGGATAAGGTATTAATATATCATAACTATATAAGTGTAAGAATACATTCCACTTCTAAGTGCTTATCAGAAGTTCTCTTGGAAATGTTTTAAAAGATCATTATCTTTCATAAAATTAAATGAAAACTGGAAGAATTGCAGAATTCCTTGCTCTGGCACTAATTTAACACACTGTAGTTCCTTTTTGTTGTTGTTTATATAAAGTTTCTCCATTCAACTACCTCATAATATAAACCAGAGAACACAAACTTTTGCCCACTAATAATGTGAAATGGCTTAACCCCAAGAATATAATCAAGAAGAAATTTTTTATACAAAGAAAGATATTTAATAGAAAACATATTGCTAAAAAAAATCAGAAAAGGTCAGATACTTAAATATCAACATTTAAAAAAATTGAATTCAGGATCCTTTGATTCTGTACTAACATTTTCCCTTTGTTACTTTGTTACTAACCAAGCTTTGTTACTGAGTACAATGGAACTTACACGTCATAATAAATGTTCATATATGATTTTATTCTCAAGGCTGGTGAAGCAGCTGAAGTAGCCATAGCCATGTTTCAACAGTACAGTTATCATCACAAGTCACACCTTATATGAATAATTTTTAACAGTATGGTGTGATCACTTCTTCCTCTGTTCTGTTTTTCTACTAAAAGCTTTACAAATTCTGCACCTTTCTTGAATGTCCTCAAATATGTTCTCTTTCAGATGAGATCACATTTATTTAATTAAGACCTAGGCTTGTGCTATTCTTAAATAAAGCAGACATCACTCTCATGCTTTCAAATAATTAATCAAAGTGGCCAATTTTATCTTAAATAACTAAAGGTTTCCTGGTTTATGGCAGCATTATTAACATATGATTAATAAGCAGTTAATGAAAACCAGCTCTAGTAATACATTTGTTAAGGTACTTTATCTTAGTTCAAAGTTAGGTGACATTGTTTTAAACCATAGTTCAGAGGCATTTATCATTTAGCAATACATTCTTAAAAGTATTATCTCATCAAGCAGCTGATAGAATTCAAAACATATGGGGGCCCATTTGTTCCTTCTGGAAAATAAATATGGCTTACTGTGTCATGTTATTATTGTGCCAGTTAACAGCAATCTAAATGTAGCCCAATTGAGCTTATTTGTCTGCTCCATGGTTTTGTAATAATTATCCTAGTTGGATTTTATGATTGAAAACAATAGAAAGACAAAAGCAACTGTAGGTAATCCTAAAATTCTATAAATATAGGGAAAATGGTTGGGAAGATGGAATTCCAGTGCACTCCAATGTATGCACATACTACTGATTCAAATCCCGGCACTACCAGTTTGCTATTGGGAGCGTGTGGGTGCGCTCCCTCACTTTGCGAGCGCATGGCACTTCTGTGCATGCGCAGAGTGTCTTTGATGATGTCTGGCGACATTCATTCACCCAAACCAGGACAAACTGATAGCAACCCACCCCCGTACTGTACCTGTTGGGGAAAGAAAATGATATGGGATCTTTCAAAAAGAGTTTGAAATTGCAGGGGTGTCAAACTGGCAGCTAGCGGGCCGATGCATCACATGCAGGCCACGCCCATCCAGCTCTGCGAAGGGAAAAATTATCACAATACATTACGTGACGGCAACGTGACATGGTGAGTTTGATACCCGTGTGCTAGTTTTCTACATTATTTTGTTTTCCATTCTCTTTCACTAACAATAATAACATAAGATGATACTTACTTGAGGACCAGGTTGACCCTATGTAGAAAAGAGAGAAAAAAAGAAAGAACAATTTTAAACACCAAACCCATTTAAAAAAAAAAAAGCATAAAGAGTTTTAGTTTTCTAACAAGATGACAATGCAATGATTTTGAGAGTCTATTCAAAAACATTTGGTTGAAATTCCAATTGCAAATTTAATCAAAGGTAAAACATCCCCTACCATAATGACAAAATTATTTCAGCAAATTAAGTTTCTTCTTTAGTGCAAGTTAGGAATGTACTGTGTGGAGGAACAAGGTCATGTTATTTTCACAAGGTGCTGCTAATGATCTATATAGAAGCATATTAATAAAGTAACATTATTGTTTGATAATTAGATTTCAGTAGACCAGCTTCAAAGTAATCTCTATAAACCTTATCCAAAAACCAAAAACAACCACCACCAAATCCTTAACTGCAAATACAATACAATAATTAACCTTCAAAGAAACTCCAGCCCTTGGGGGGGGCAGAAATATTAATTGGCTTTTTCAACTCTTCAGATCTAACAAATTGCTGGTAATAGTTTTTTTAACAGCTATTCCATCCTTCAGTTAATATTTTTGTCCATCCAAAATACATTGCTTTCAAAATTGTCTCTTTAAAGTGATAGTTTTTTTCCATATTAGTTCATGTTGTAATTTTAAAAATATGACTACATACAGTATGTTGTTGAATTTGAATACTATACTGTTACTTTTATTTTATTTATGTTACCTATAGGCTGCTCCAATCTGAGGGGCATACAAATATATTATGACAATCATACATTTCTTTGAAAGTATCAAAAGCAGGAAAAAAAGCAAAGACGCTTGCAATGTTCAAATTAGTTCAGTTCTGAAAATGAAGTTTAATTTTGCACATTTTTCTCATTCTTCAAAATGGGCTTAGTTGATTCCATTACTTAGTTTCTTTCATTTTTTGCTCAGATCCGCAGGAAGCATTGTTGACTATGGTTGGAATGTACAGAGCATGGCAATTGAAATGTATTGCTATTTTCAATACAAAAAAACCTCACTTTCTAGACATAAGCAAATATTTCTAACCGCCATGACACTAAAATGATGAAATGTGTGGGATGAGGAAGCCCTGCCCTTTAACAATGCTCTATGAAAGTATGTAAGGAGCAGAGTGACATACATTTTGCATCATGAAGAACATATTTTACCTCCTATGGATGCCCGTTTCTACCTTGATTTTAACCATAGTGCTCAGGTAGAAAGAAACTATCTGCATAATTGCATCAACTTTCCCAAACATGGCAATATCAATGCATTAGAGGAATTTTTAATTTATAATATAATAAAAGGAGTTTATAATTGATTCCTGCAAAGTCATGTAATCAATTATAAACCAATCCATTACCCTCCACTTAGAGACAAACAACCTACTCTCTAACAAACAGTTTGGTTTCAGGAAAAAAATTTCCTGTAATCTGCAGCTCCTACACTGCAGAAACATTTGGACTACACAATTCGACCAGGGTAAAGCAATAGATGCAATTTACATAGACTTCTGCAAAGCTTTTGATTCAGTGGTACACGGCAAACTACTGTTAAAACTAAGCTCTTATGGCATTTCTGGATAGCTGCATTCCTGTCAAACAGGCAACAAGTAGTCAAAGTAAGGAGTGCCTTTGACTAGGTGGCTCAGTGGCTAAGATACTGAGCTTGTCGATCAGAAAGTCAGTAGTTCGGTGGTTCGAATCCCTAGTACAGGTCTCCTGGGTGAGCAGGGGGTTGGACTAGGTGACCTCCAAGGTCCCTTCCTGTTACTGTTAAATCCTGCACCAGTTAACAACGGTGGCCCCCAAGGCAGCGTTTTAGGACCCACTCTCTTTCTAATTTACATAAATGACCTTTGCGATCATATTATAAGCAGCTGCATCCTCTTCACTGATGACATAAAGCTATTTAACACCACTGACAATACTGCTGCCCTACAAAATGACCTTGACTATGTGTCAGAATGATCAAACAATTGACAACTTCAAATCTCAACCAACAAATGCTCTGTCTTACACATTGGCATTGTCTGGCCCCATTTATTCGTACTCATTTCCTGTGTTCATGTCCATGTTAATACTTATACCTGTTTTCTCATACATGTTTGACAAATAAAATAAAATAAATAAAATAAACTTTCAGGCCAAGAAATTCATGTAACTGTTTTGCATCAAAGACCTCACTGACATTCTTTAAAAACAATTTTGTGGAGTCAGGATATGCATTTAACTTCTTTTCATGAATATTTCTTCTGCCACATTCAAAACATGTTCTACACTGGCTTATCTTTGAATACCCCGCAGAGACTGCAATTGATAAAAAGGAAGTTTCCTGTATGCTAGCAAGTGAGAGCACTTCAGTCACGTCACCCTCATTGAAAGTACCTCACTGGCTTCCAATAGGTTTCCAGGTCCAATGTGGTAGTTTCCTAGGTATTCGCTGAACTGATTCCTGACATAGAAATAGCCCATATAGTTTACCTGTTTCATTGAATACGTTAAGGGTTTCTGAATTACAAAAAACGAGGTATATGGGAGCTTAGAAGTGGTAGAGATTATCCTCTTTTAGGGATTGCCTTGTCTTAATTACATAAAGTGATTTTTTTGTAATTATGATGGTGATAAAAAAGTAACTGTACAATCAAAGCTTGCATTTTCTGCTTTCACTACTCATAATCCCAGATACAGTTTCATTTAGTGACCACTTTGCTTAATTATCATTCCCAATTATAGTTGTTAACAAGGACTATATTTTCTTCTGGTGACACTATTTTACAGAATAATCTTCCTTTGGAGACCAGACTGGACTAAATCTATTCCAGAGAGCTCCAGAGAGTTGATATTTTCCAGTAGTACATTATTTAAAATTATTTACATTAATATTTTATTAGGAACTTGTATTAGGACTTTTTAACTTTGATGTATTTTTGGTTATGATTGTAAATCTCCAATAGCTCGATGATTTGGAAAGTATTGAAAAGAAATAATGAGCAAATAAATAATCCAAACAAATAGGATAACTATGACCTGGATAATTGAGAATCTCCAAAGACATTGAGCAAACAATAAATAGTTTAATAAAAACTGGGTAAGAGACACTTACAATTTCTCAAGAATGCATATAGCCATATCTATTAATCCATTTTGCTATAACATACTTTCTTTAAAATCTTGCTTTCTTTCAGTACTTTCTTTCAAATAGTCATCATTTCACTTAACACTGATCAACCCAAAGCTTCTTATTAAAGGTTTTTAAATAAGTGCTCCTGGGACATGTTTTAGTTTTTAAAAATCATAGTGTTACATGTGCACTGAGGCTTGTTTCCATTAGAGTAGAGCCATAATCACTTTTCTTCAATTGACAGAGGTTGTTTTCATACCTCTGACAGGAGAATTATTTTGAGCTCTATCATTCCTTTTGCTGTAATATATCTCCCACAAATACACATAGGAAAAATATAGTTAGCATAAGCTAAGAGGGAAATGGAAAATACCCAGTGTTACTTGGAGAAAATAAGCTGGATTTCTTACCACAGTCAATTAACAATGAGAAAACAGAAAAGTTTTAAAACCTTGGAAAAGTGTTGAGACCTTAAAACAATAGGATTTTCATGATTATGTTTAAGAATTCACTTAAAGCTCCAGAAAATCTTCTACTGAGAGGTGAAAACTGCTATGAAACTGTTCTAGTGATCCCAAAAGACCCCAGAAAATGTGATCCCTAGGTTATAATATATAAAGAATTAATATAAAATTCTATCTCAATTCAGAATGTATTGAATGTGCTAAGTGATATTTAAACATTTACTATCAGGTATAGTGAAGACCTACCATTAGGATATGTACATTGTCAGGTCGCATTAGAGACATATGGTCCATCAATAGTGGGTGTATTTCTTGACTGTAAAGACTATGATGAGATCAAAAAGTTTATCTTCTGAGATACTTTGATAAGCAGCTATAATAAGGGAGATAATTTTTTCAAGGCAAGAGTAATCATGTTAACTGACTTGAAGTCTCCTCTAAACCATACCAAGACACGTAATATTAGTGGAAAGATTGAGTGGGGATGTACAAAAGAGCTCTTTTCCAAGATCAGTCAACAAAGAATGCTATCCATAGCATTGGAATTCTAAGAGAAAGACAATTCAATGAAGAGGGATAACAGGAAGAAGAGGAAAAGTGGCAGGTATGCAGTAAAATGTAGAAGATTTGAGAGCATTGCAGAAAGCAAACATTCATTCTTAAATGCAAGCATCATGAAACATTGATGAAACAAACCTGTGACATTTTCCCACTTTCTCCAAAAATGCTACCTGCATATTAAACATGTCCAAAATCACTGGAGTGTTAATAGGTCTAGAATTTCCATAGTACCATTTCTTGTACCATATACAATAATAACATGTCTATCTAAACATGTTCTTTTACCATAGTTATGGGCTGTAGTATTTCTCTCACTGGCCTTTCCAAAGTTGAAAGAGTGATAGTGGTGGGAATAGAATAGAATAGAATAGAATAGAATTTTTTATTGGCCAAGTGTGATTGGACACACAAAGAATTTGTCTTGGTGCATATGCTCTCAGTGTACATAAAAGAAAAGATACATTCATCAAGAATCATAAGGTACAACACTACATGATAGTCATAGGGTACAAATAAGCAATCAGGAAACAATATCAATATAAATCGTAAGGATACAAGCAACAAAGTTACAGTCATACAGTCATAAGTGGAAGGAGATGGGTGATTGTTTTTTAGTTGCAGTTTTTAATCTGTCTAATGTCAAATGTTTCTTTGTACCCTTGTTTTGAGTGTATTACTCAGAAGCGTTCTTATACATGAGGGGTTTGGTGAATTGCGGGAAGTGTTTTTCTCATTTAATTAATTCCATAAACGAAAATACTTCTATAATTTCACCATCACTGCCACACAGGGCTATCCAGTTATTTTAATGCACCAGTGACTTCTCAAAGAGAAGATCTTTAAGGGC